ACCCCAATAGGTAATCAACAAAATGTTTAGTAGGCTAATTTGAGAAGAACGTGTGAAAGTGGGAGATATGGGATACCTAGAAAAGTTTGAAGTGGCTAAATGGTTAATTAGGGAGGGAGGAAAAGGGTTTATAATTCGACAGAGGCATGTGAAAGACTTAAGCAATAGTAGGAAAATTTTATTTCCTCATTTGGAGAGGGATATATGAAAAATCTTTGTATAATTTTTTAACTTTTCTGGAAGGCTGACATTATTTTTTTATAAATGTTTAATCTTCTGAACCATTATAATAACTCATCAAACTGTATATTTTAATGTGTTTTTCTAGTATCTATTTCATATATCACAGAAATTTTTAAAATTTAAAAATTAGATAAACATAAATTAGATCATAGCCACTAGTCACTTTTAGAGAAATAATTCAAATACTTGACAATTAATTAAAAAACTATATAGAACCTGGCTCCTCCTCTAGCTTCCTTTTTTATTCTTATTCTTCCCTATTAATCTGCTATCACTTATTGCTCCTGACAGAGCTCATTCCTACCTCAAGGTATTTGTTCACCCTACTTAAGATGTTCTACATAATCAAATGGCTTGAGCCCTTACTTCTCGTTCTTGGGCCTGATCCAATATTACTACCTCAGGATATATAAATAAATCTAAATGTAAAAGACAAGCTGGATGCAAATTCAAAATACAGATGAAAAATTATACTAGGAAAGAATGTAAACCTCAAATAAAATGAGAGAGAAATAAGAGAAGGCAAATAAGGGTTAAAATGGGTAAACATGAGGCTCCTTTGGAAAGTTTGGTGAGATATCTATTTCTTCCCCAAGTCTCAGGCCTTTTCCACACAGGTCTTTGAAGGAAAACTTCCAACCACCCTAGGGATATGCCTCCTCCCTGACCACCTGGGCTGTTTCCAACAGTGATGGTTTCCACACCTGACTCACTCTTACCTGCACATCGTCTTCTTTTATCTTTCCTCCCTGTCTCCCATGGATCCTTCCATTGTTCCAATAAGGTAATCACATGTGGTTTAGAAAGAGAATGCCCTGCTTATAAATAAGCATGCCAAATAATAAAGCAAAGAAAAATATTAATTCAAAAATACCGGGGCTGGGGATGTGGCTCAAGCGGTAGCGCGCTCGCCTGGCATGCGTGCGGCCCGGGTTCGATCCTCAGCACCACATACAAACAAAGATGTTGTGTCTGCCGAGAACTAAAAAATAAACATTTAAAAAAAATTAAAAAAAAAAAAAAATACCTTGAGCTTTGGTTAATTTTTAATAAAGGCTAAAACAATTTTGATAAATACTTCAAAAAAGGGAAAAGGAGTTCAAGTAACCAGACAGGCAGGGAAATGGTTTTATTTTAAATGAAATCTATGTATCTATCTACATACCTACTTATCTACATATTTATCTTCTGTGTCTTTAACAGAAAGTATGACTATGCAACTGAGAACACAGAATGCAGAAACAAAGTGCCTGGGTTCAATTTTACTTTTGCTACTTATCAGCCATGTGATCTTATTAAGTAGTATGTAATTTACTTAAAGAGCACTGTCATTTAAAATGACTGTAAAAATAGTACCTGTCTTAAAGGTGATCCTAAGGATAAAAATCAGTTAATATAAGTATCTATTAAAGATTCTACAATAGTGACTCATACATGATAAGCACAGCATAAACTATTCACATTACAATGGTCATTTTGCTGAGGAAAAAAAAAAGTTTCCTGAGTCATTTCCATCTATAAGATAGTCATTTAATCTTAAATACAAAGTTGAGGAGATATTCATTTTATCTATACAATCAGATTAATTATGTTCTAAGAAATAAAATAAGGTAAATTGTTTTAAATGATTCCGGTTTATACAATCCACCATTTGTACAGGCTCTTCAGATATTTGAAAAATATCAGGACTCTTTGTCTAGCTGTTCTGCCTATATATGGGTCAGACTTTAATAGAGTATTTATTTATAGCAATTTTGAGCATAAACACAATAGGAAACCTGGCCTCTCTGTCAGTGTTTATACCATAATGGAATTCTAATCTTGTTTCATCCTTTCTAGCCTAACAAAGCTAGACTCTTTGGGATCATGGAGAATCAATTGTGTTCACTTAAGACAGCCCTAAAATTTATAATGGACAAAGTTTCAGGGAATACATTTTAAGTTATTTAAGAGAGGTAAACTTACCCAGTGAGACCAAATTCCTATAGTTCTCCAACATCACATCTCTGTACAAGTCTCTCTGAGAAGAATCTAGACTTTGCCACTCTTGCTGAGAGAAAGCAATGGCCACATCCCTGAATGTCACTGATTCCTGAAACTGCAAACTCATATAAATCTGGTGAAATTAAAGAAGTTATTTCTCAGTTTCAGTGTTGTAAGAGAACAATAATATAGCAATTGAGTGATCTGGAAGCCTATGATATGGGAATTGTATGGGAAGCAAAGTATCAGTATATTGTAGAAGAATCTTATTGCCACAGACAAAATTTTCTATATGTTGTAGATACTTCAATTCTCTAGACCTACAGGGAAATGAATAAAATAATACAATTTCCCCTGTCATATGATATAGCACAACAAAGACACTGCTTGCTAGGTACCAACTAATAGAATCTCAAGAACTATTAGTCTCTACCTTTAAGAGAAAAAAACTATGTTTTTTTTTCTTTCAAGTAAATTTCTATTTAAAAAGTAGGCATTACAAAATTTGTTAATTCTTTACGCTTCAAGATCACTCTGTCAAATCAAAAGTACTTTTCCTTCTGTTGAAATAAAAGTTTTCCATGAGGACATAAAAGACAACTCATCTATAGATAAGAATTGTTGAGAGCCACAGCCGAAGGGGCCATGCTTACAGTGAAGGGTGCTTGAGGATCATAGGTTGTTACAGCCTCTTTTAGCTGCTTCACTTTTTTGAAATTTAAAGCATGGTGAATTCACTGCCCTCCTGCCTGCTCAAATACAGGGCATGTTAATATTTGAGATCCTGTCTCAGGATTCCAACTATCAACTGCGGGGGTTGGGAGCCTCCCAGCATATGGAGGTGGCGCTGTTGGTTGGACACTTACGCCCTCTGGTGATAGAAAGGTGTTAGTAGTAGTCTCCTGTAGAGGTGGCGCTGTTGGTTGGACACTTACACCCTCTGGTGATAGAAAGGTGTTAGTAGCAGTCTCCTGTTGTAACTTTTCCCCTGATGGCTTTTTCTGCTCTAAACTTTCTTCCTCTGTCTGACTAGCTCGAGAGACCTTCTCTTTTACTTGAATCAATATGTCTTCTCCTTCCTCTACCATTGTCTGAACTGAAGGCTTTGGACTAAGCAAACAAGATACGAATGTTCACAATGGCAATGTGCCAACTGGCAGAGTCCCTGGGCTTTTCTTTTCTATTCTTTTTAAATCTTCACCATGATGGTTCCATTGTGATATATTTAACAACTCCTCCTTAAAAAGCCATGGGCTACATTTTTGTATTGTATCAACGTATGCCCTGACTGCTCTTGATTTTACTGGGATGCCTCCTTCCTCTAAAAATTTACTTAACACTCTTTCGGTTTGTTTTTTACTAATTTCTGATCCCATATTTCTACTATAATACAACCCAACAAGATGACGCCAAACAAAGCCGAGACAGAATGAAACAAAAATGGAACAACACAAAATCATTATATCAGCCTTTCTATCCTCCTGAAATGTCCATCCGTCCTTTCTCCCTATCTGTTCCTCAGACGCAAATAGTTTGTCCTCAGATGTGAGCGGTTTTTCTTCCATCTCACTCATCTCCAGAGACAGGCAACTTAAAACAAAAGCGAAATAAAACAAAAGAAGAATCTTAAAATGGCTACCCATCCTCTCGCCCTGCCCTCAGGGGCGAGCAGTTTACCTTATCACTTACCCTCAGTCGTTCCCCGTACGGGCCACCAAATGCCACAGTCTGGCTGGGCACAATTCAGGAGCCACTTGTCAAAAGAAACAAACTTTATTTTTAGAACACACACACCACACCACACAGCTCCTCAGGAAAACCTTCAGAGCCCAACTGCCACCACGGGCTTCCCACAAGCCTCTCCACCTCCCCCACTCCTCCTGCTCTTGAGGCAGATTGGCTGGGTTGCATGGGCGGAGCCAAAAAAAGTCCCCCAATGAGCAGCTCCATGGTCTGAAAGGGCGGGGAAACAGCCCAGTGAGCATCACCACAGAGGAGCCAATCAGTTAGCAGCTAGAAGTTTGCTGGGGCCCCTTCAGCTGTGGCTCTCAACAAAGAGCTAGCAAATTATTTCATATTTATAAATGTAGACTGGACTGTCTCGGGTTTCCCCAATCTGTAATCTATTAACCTACTACTTAGGAAAATATACTTGTATTGTTATACAGGATTCCTCACTTGACACTTTTTGCTGTTCTTGAATCAGTGGATTATTATGAAGATGACTCAGAATCAGATGTATGCTACCATTACACAAGACTAACCTAGCATCACCCTCAACATCCCCTGGCAAAACCATATGAATGTTTTCATGTCAAAGTGAAGTTCCCAGTCAACCTTAAGAGCATGTGATCTCATCATACTAAGATTGAGATCAATCAATACAAAAATTCCAATTTATCAGGATTCAGGGAAACTATGAATCTTTGGATATGTGAACTAGTAAAGCCAACAGCTCTAACTCACCAAACCAAAGACAGAGTAAGCTCAATAATTCTCTCATGGATTTCACTCCTTCATTATTTTATCATAGCCCTTCCACAAAGACTTATCATATAGTTCCTGCACAGTTATTTGTTCAATGAATTCATGAACACTGATTAGAAGAACAGAGGACGTTGTAAGGAGGAAACAGTTATTTGGCATCATTCTTTCAATGAAGAATCAATGAGCAATTAGATGGTGTTCTCTTAGGCAGATCAATTCAGCTTAATTAGTGAAAATGGCTATGTAATCTAAAAATCCCATTATTTTAAAAATAAATACTAACTTACCTGGGCCATGCTTTTTGAAATATGGGGTTCCTCTTCAGAGAAACTCAGAGCTGAAAGAAGAAAAGGAGGCTTTAGTATTCCCAATGACGTAAATTGATAAACTTTTTTTGTCTCTTCATTTTAGCTTCCAAACCATGCCACAACTACCATTAAGCAAAATTTTGAGGAAAAACAAGAGGATTCAAACTCCAGCAAATCAAGCCATTCCCCTGGATACAGAGTGGTGATGAAGGCAGAATCTAATTTCATCACATGATTTTACCTAACCATTTACATTACACTGAACTTATACAAGATCATTATCAGATATTAAAGTATTTGCACATCAATGGTTCAAAGTATTTTTATGATGCATAGTATCTTTGTTAATAGAATAAAATCACAATGTTTCTCCCCAGAAAAATATGTGTGTGTGTCTGTTTATTTTCTACATACAATTCCACATGCATTTACAGGTGGGTTGTGATCACCTGGAAGGCTCTTAAATAATGTCAAATATATCATTTTAAGAATTTCTTTTTTTTAGCCAATTGAGTTTATTTCTGTTGCTACTGAATTCTGAAGGAGAATAATCCAGAATTACTAACTAATAAACAGTTAATATTTCCTGAACATGTATAATGTTCCAGGCACTGTTTTAATGGACTTTACACATACTAAAACATCTTATCCTGCTGGATGAGGTGGTACATGCCTGTAATCCCAGCAGCCCCAGAGGCTGGGGCAGGAGGGTCACAGGTTCAAAGACAGCCTCAGTAATTTAGTGAGGCCCCAAGCAACTCAGCAAGATCCTGTTTCTAAATAAAATACTAAAAAAGGGCTGGGCATATGGCTCAGTGGTTAAGCAGCCCTGAGTTCAATCCCTGGCATTGCCCCCCCCCTCAAATTCTTATCCTTATATCCTTATGAAGCAGAAACTATTATCAATCCTATTTTAGAGATGTAAACAAGAATCCATAAACAGATTGTTCAAACTCAAACATCTAGTAAGTGGCAGAACCAAGATTCAAAATCAGATATTGAAAATTCAAAACTCATACTCTTCAACAGCACACCACACTGCATCTTACGGCCTAATGATTCTGAAATAGACTCTGCAGTCAAAACTCAAAGAAGACCTAATAAGTTTCTCAGGACACAGAGCAACCTATATATGCTCCAATCTACAATCACATTGCCACTTCTAGAAGCTTCACCCAGAATACGACTTTGTCATGTTTACTAAAATCATTAAACTGATTTCTACTTTGCTAAGCTTTGATAATGATGCCTCAGGCAAAAATGTTACCTAGCATGCCATGCAACATAGATACTAAGTGTCCTCCTTACCAAATCAGAATCTAAAAAGTAGTTCTAAAAGCCAACTTCAGAGTTGTATTTCTCCACCAAACCATCACAATGCTTAGAAAGAGAGCACAGAAGAGGATCTGAATGATTTGTTCAAAGGGAACAAGAAATTAACGAAGAGATAGAGAATGAGCAGTCACAGGGAATGGAAGCACAATCTCCCAGGACCTCATTCACAAGATCTAGAGAGGTCACAATTCCGGAGAATATTTCAGGCAAAAGAAAGTAAATATTCTCATATTCCGAAAACAATAATTTATGTACAAAAGAGAAACACAAATTTTCCTAAATCTTAAATCTTACTTAGGCAGCAGTTATTTCTTTGCGTTAGGGTCTGTCTCTTAAAGAATGACAGAATTGGAAAAAGAGACCATGGAGACAAAAGGCCTTTTGGGGACTCAGAAAACCCTCTCCAGGCCAAACTCAAACCTTCCTCACACATATAACCGGATGGAAGTGAATGGGAGGCAGTACCTGTCGTCAGTGCCCCGGGAATGCCGCGTTTCTCAAACTGTAACTGGCACCCACAGACCCCCCCATCTGGGAGGAGGGAGATTTCCCAACCAATCTTCTCGGTCCCCCCCACCCCCCCGAAAACACTTCAAGCTCTAAAATTTCCATCTTCAGACCAGTTCCCAGCCTTCCTGCTGGGAAATTTCTTTCAAGAACTGAGCTCGCTTGGGGGCCACCTGTTTGGGACAGACCCTGTCGCTGTTTGGAAACGGGTGCAGAAGGCAACGGGAGCCCAGAACACCGGTCACCGCGGCGCACCCCGCCGCGGAGAGAAGCCAGCTTCACAGGTCACGCACCCAGTCTTCCTGGGGACACAGGGTCCCTGTCACAGGCGCGGACGTTCCCAATTCCGCCCCGCCCCCCAGCTCCCGCGCACACACACAGGCTTCGGATCCGGTCTGGACGAGCTCTGTCGCCGTCCTGCGTGTCCCGTCCACTCCACGCTCAGCCAGCGGCCGCGGACTCAGTCTCCCACCCCCACAGCTCCCCACACTCTTTTCCTTCACAGGAGTCCAACTTACCCCGTGAGCTCGCCCGAGTCTGCAAGCCCTCGGCCTGAGGCCGGGGGCTGATTTTATTTTCCTCACAGAAATCCAAAGGTCGCTGCCAGGTTAAAAATCACAACATCCTGGATAGTCAGAGCGCAAGGCGAAGTTGCCCCGGTGGCCTCTGGGAAGTGTAGTTCCAGGCTAAATTGGTTGGATCGCAGTGGCCTATGGGACATGTAGTCCGGAGCCGGAAAACCGGAAACGTGCGAGGCCACCCGCCCACTCTGTGCCCCGGAGGTTTGTGGGAGTTCCTGTAGGTGCTGGGGCGCAGGCGCAAGCGTTCATTTTGGTTAACCCTTGGTGACTGTACCCGCCTCAGAGGTGCTGTGCGGGTTTGAGGGGGTCGGTGGTCATCGCCCAGAAGAGAGAGGGGTCTGGGCGCGCCAGGAGTTCTAGATTTCTCGGCGTCTGTGACCCGAAGTAGATGCCCAGCTTTCCAGACAGCCAACACCAGAAGAAATAAACAACAGCACCAACAACAAAAACCCACAATGTGTACTAAAATGGTTTATTATCTCAAACCTATGAAAAATAGGTGTTTGAAATGATTTTTTCTTTATGGATCTACTTTTCTGTTACAGGAATGCTATTATTTTAATAAAACCTTAATAGGACTAATTTAGAGTGGTGATTAGTACGACTAACTAATTACACCTGTGTGTGAGGACGATATTTCCACTGGTACAGCAATTTAACTTTGTATTAGACAAATTCTGTAGGCTATATTACTGTGTATTCTTAAGAGGCATAAATGTAAGCTCTTTTAAAAGGAGAATGTAAATATGAAATGACTTAAGACATGTTTCTGTCCTGTATATACTAGGATATTTTTACTCTTTCTGCTGCCTTTTCCAATAATAACACTTCTGCATCTAGCCTTTATGGCATTCTTCTTGTGTAGTTGTAAAACTTAGTACAGAAAAACGTAAAAATCACTTTGACTTGCAGTTCCACTCGAGTCAAGCCTACATGACATTGATTCTTGTTGTCGGTCCATAGGATGACATTGACTTAAATATCCTTTCAACAAAAGCATTTGAGTGTGGAATAATTAGGATTTTACTTCCTAGCAACAGCAGTATTGTAGCTAAAAAATTCCATCCAAATGAGAATGATTACAGTGTCAGTACTATCCTAACCCAGAAATCACCAAAAGAAAATTCTATGTAACTATTATTTTAATGACTGATGGAAGAATACATACAATTGACTTAGGTAAATTCAACAGCATGGTGCACAATAGGAAGGACAGATTTTCATACTGGGCATGACAGACAACAGCATGAAAGAGGTGTTGGAGATGGGGATTTTGCAAGTCCAGGATGAATCAGAGAAATACTTCTAAATCTAAATTTAAAAAGATTGATGTTGGGCTGGGGATGTGGCTCAAGCGGTAGCGCGCTCGCTTGGCATGCGTGCGGCCCGAGGTTCGATCCTTAGCACCACATACAAACAATGATGTTGTGTCCGCCAAAAACTGAAAAATAAATATTAAAATTCTCTCTCTCTCTCTCTCTCTCTCTCAAAAAAAAAAAAAAAAAGATTGATGTTTGTCAAAAATGAATAGCTAAATTATCTTGGACATAATCACATGAACAAACGTGTTCTATCATTCCTTTGTTTATGAAACTGAGTAAAGTTACATTTCCTGATCCAGAGATTGTAACAAAAATAACTTGTGGTTGAACAAAATGAGACATTTTGATACTACCTATGTTTACCCCTTACAGTGCAAAGATGATTATATCAGATCTTACCTATCATAGTGTGATGTATGGGATCATGAAAACACTAATAAAAATATTTCCTGTGCTTCTTGTTACTTTGATTTGAAAAATGGAGTTTCAAATGGTACTTATTTCTATGAAGATTATAAATGAACCATATAAAACTGAAATAAAAGATTGTTAATATCCAAAAACAAAACTTTAATCATTTATCTGTATCTTCAGTAAGCAAAGAAGGTGTAAATTTTGGCAAAAATTCATCCAGTTCATAAATTTCTTACTAAATAAAATGAAGAGCTCTATTTGCTAATTGTTCTGCACAACAAAAACACAGAATGACTACAAGTGATGTTGCCAGGTTTCTATTCCCAACTAAAAGGCTCAGGGGTCACTCCAGGTAAACTGGGCTGACTGGGCTGCACAAAATAACCACACAAGAGACACAAATACTTTTTCTTTGGGGTCACTGTGACGGCTCCTCTGACCTTAAGGGTCCACAGAAAGAGAGAGAGCATGCGCTGACCCCTTTTATTGAGGAGAAGCTGTTCAAATGAGGCAAGGGGTCAGGTTTCAGGGGGCTGAGTCTATCTTCATGATGTCCACTGTCAGCAGGTTGACTGACACCTGGGTAGGCCACACCCAAGGGCACAGTAAGTGAAGGGGACACACACAAGTCACTTCCATGGAAGATTCTATCCTAAACAGGGCAAGAGGTTATATTACAAAGGAACAAGTGAACATAGCTCCACCCATGGGGCTGTAGGATGCCTGATGCCACATCGCCCAGCAGGGGAGTTAACTCAGTCACATGCGAGGTTGGTCTCCCACATGATGTCATTTGCTTACCTATGATATTGAAGACTTTACTAAAGTTTTTGGCCACTTCAGTTTCCTCAAAATGTGGAAAAGCATTTTATAGACTTTGCAGAAACGGAAGAAGACTAGACATGTACTTACAGTAAACACAAGAGTCATTGTTGTCAAACAAACGCTGGTTTGTTGACCTGCCGTAAAACCATATTTTCAAAGTGTGGGACAAGAAAGTGCCTTTCTCTAATTTGGAAATGCATTGACAATAAGAGTGGAGGAAAGGATTACAGTAAAACAGAAATGTATATGACATCACCCCATGATTGCCTGTTCCACAGTGACTGCTCTGTGATGAATGTTAACCTGTTATGTAAAATAGTCACACTTCACATCTACTTTCGTATTTCAGCCACATACCCTTATTCCATCTGGGTCACTGGCCACTGCCTAGGAATTTACATATATTCTAACGTTAGGTTATTTCACATAAAATAGATGCCCATGTGCTGTGTTCACAAGTCAGTTCAATGGAAATGCTTTTCCTCTGCACTATCAAGCATACTCCAAATATGAATTTAATGTCCCTGCACACTGAAATGATTTATCTCACATTTATTTTCTAGGTATTTAGATATTTTCTAGTTCACTTTTTGTTCTCTGACTCATTATATCTGTTTCCATTTTGCTTTCACCACATCAGTTCTTTATGTAACTGTATTTTATGATTAATGTTTCCTTTAGTTCTTTTATATTATTAATATACTTAATTTCCTCTTTAAGTGGTATTACTATAATCATTTTTATTATTGCATTTAAATGGATTTTTAGTATTTTCCAAAGAGCTGCAGGCACTTGAGATAGGAACCTGTTGCTGTAGGCAAAATGTTGCAGGTGAATTCAGGTGGTTCTTGGAGAATATGGAGAAGGGCTTTTATGCTGATTTACTTCCACTGCTTGAGTCTCCCAAATAATGTCTGCCAGCACCAAACATCCCTACAGTATTCAAACATGATTCATCACTTCACATTTGAATCTTCCCCGTATCTCATATCACTCCTTAACTGATTATATCATTAATATGACACATGATGATTTCATATACGTATCTCTCCTTACCGAGTATGAAAATAAAGAGCACATCAAAAATGTAGCTACATTGTGAAAATAAACTTTATTTCTTCACTCATAAAGGAAAATGTCCATCACATTATTTGCATAAACCTACAGAAATGAAGGCACTATCAAGGTTAAATCTCTCAGACGCTCTCCTTGAGTTTATGGAAGTTCCTTTATGGCAATTTCCATACAGTGGCAGGAAAATTTAGAGGTGACAATAAAGATATTCAGCCCAGTAGAACTGTGGTAATCAGCCAGGTCCCCTGGTCTTTCTGTCTCAGCCTTCTGTCTTTAAATTTTATTTTTAGAAGTTGTTGATTAGCTATGAACAATGAGTACAGAGGTAATAGTATTTGCAAGTTGACCATATACTTTCTATAAAGTAGGATGAATGTATTTTCCCAGTTTCCTATGTGTGCATAGGAAAAATCTAGCAAAACAAGATGTAAATGAAATCTAATGTGTGATCAAAACACAATACCTAAAGGTCATGCGGAATTTCCCCATGTCCTTGGATGGTGCTTAATTTATTTGGTTAATAAATCTAAAATTCATAAGTATGAAATATAAACTTTCATTTTTCTTTAAAAATAAAATGCTTACCATTTCTTCCACTTTTAAAATTTTATGTAACCTCTTGTTTGGTCAAGACTAGTTTATTCTTCTTCTTAAAGTTTCATTCTTGCTCCTACTCAGCAATCATGTGCAACCCGGTAAGCAGATTAGTTCTTTTCTCAGTATCTTTTAACCATGCCATAAATTCCCTACTATATTCAAATTCTTCTGTATATCTTTTATTTTCTATTGGCATGTATAGGAAAAGAACATATTTCTGTGTAAAAAAAATGAACACCTAAAACAGCTTATATTGCATATATATTCAATAAAATGGACATATTGTTGGAAACACTTCCAAAATGGACTCAAGTAGATGTAGAAAATATGAATAGATCATAATAGGTAGACATTAAACCAGCAATCAAAATTTCCATACAATGAAAAGTCCAAACTGGATCACTTCTATGATTAATTTTTAAAAATAATTTTTTTATAATTACTACTTAAGCATACTAACATGAACCTAATGAAAGTGTCAGATGGAAAAGAAATAAAGACGGGACACAAATCACATTCCATCACTATTGCTGGTCCACACCATCATCATCTCCCATCTGGACTATGGCTTTAACCTCCTGACTTGTTGCCTCCACACTCACTCCCAGGTAAAGAACAACGCTGCCAAAAATCAAATCAGATCAGGCTATCCTTTTCTCTAAGCCCTTTAATTACTCCAATCTCTGAGTAAAAGGCAACTTTATTATGACATCCTGCAAGGCCCTCCTAGACTGTGCACTGTCCTCTCTCTGCACTCTTCTACCCTCATATTTGTTGACTCTATTTCATCTTAATAACTACTCCCTGAGGACACCCATCTACGCTTCTCCCTACCTGCAAATTCAATTC